TGTAGGTTCCTTCTTTAGAGGAGGATTTCTAGTATTTGGCCAATCTATTCGGGTGTGCCCTAAAGGAAGAAGTGGCGACTCTGGCGCGGTATATTTGTCGCGCCTCTGCAACTTTGGCCCTTGGTGGAATTGACCGCTGGGACGCTTTTTGGTCTGACTAGCAACATGAGGAAAAACATCAGCTGGAAGAAAATGTTTGCAATCTGGCGCTTCAGTGGGATACATACCTATAGGAAATAAAGGAAAATTCCACCTTTCTTACTGAGATAAGGTACACTTTGCTCCCCCTTAATCTAACTGATTCTCTTGTCAGGTAGGTGACTCTTTTGGTAAGAAGCATGGCAAGGAAAGACACGTTTTTGCCTTCTTCTCGAGAAACTTTGAAGTATACTCAAGTGTCTCTTTTGGCGGCTCAGGGAGAGTCAGGTTCTTTGCGGCTTAAGAATGCTTCTCTTATTCAACGGTTGGGAAACTATATGATCGCCAACCTTGTGATGTTTCATGTTTTTTTAGAATGCTTTATAGAAAGTGGTGCGTTTTCAATATCCTCTACGTGTTTTGAGGGAACAAGTTTGGTCGGATCAAATGCTCAAAGATGGGGAGGTTGTCTCCTTGCTAGGGTAGCCTCTCCCTTTTTTTTTTGCACTATATGTAAAGTATATTTTGTAATGGAAAATTATATGTGCATATATTTGTAATGAAATGTTCTTTTACCTGCAAGAGATATACTTGTGTGATCCCGAGTGAAGAGCTATGAATTTCGTGGAAATTTACGAGATCTTCCCTCGAAGTTTATCGGATGTCTCCAGGGCCGCTCCCAGCTAAAGGTCAGTTCCTCTTCTCCTGACCAGGTGAAAAACCGGTCTGAGATCGAAATTTGGCCAACCCACTATGGCCTCTTGAGTGGCTAGCTGCTAGAGTGGGGATGGACCGTTATTTCCTATGGATAATTGATTGTTGTTGTCGCATGTGCGAGGCATTTGCAACACCAGTTTCTCGTGCAGCGATGGAACAAGTAGCTTTGGATCCAACAATTACTTAGAAATGTAAAGATCAAGGATTTGAAAATTCAGGAAATTGAAGATGAAATGCTACTTGATTGGATCGAAGGCGGGAAATCTTTGTGTTCGATTTCGAATGTTCTTGATTTGATGACCTGGGAAGGTTTTGGATTGACGAGTTAAATAACGAACATGACATTATGGAAAACATAGAAATCAGAAGTCATTTTTCACATACAACGTCATTGCTCTGTATTAGAACTAGAAATGGAGCGAGGATTGAAGGTAATGGCGGATATCAGTTCCTGATGCTGCGGAGAGAGGATGACCTACAAGGTTAACACTCCATTGCTCAAGTCCGTATATGAGGGAGAAGAATGAATTGAATTTGATATTAAAAACCAAGTATCTGAATTAGCGTACTCTCTATATATAATGGAGATGAAATAACAAACTACTATTTGTTAGACATAAATTGGGGAGATTCGTTGGATGTATCTAGAGTTTGGATCATATGAACTCATCCGTAAGATAGTTCTTATACATTGAGAATATTCTGAAAGAATTGCACACTCTTTAAAATGATCGGTCGAGATCAATATGGCCGGCCTAAAACATTTTTAAATATTAAATATTCTATTTGTGGAAGAATCCTCTATAATAAAATATTATTTTAGTTATGGTTTAAATAAAAGTATAACTATGATTTTGGATAATTTTTCATAATTTTATCTTTGAGAAATTTTTAATTATTTTTTTAATAATATTAATTTTTTTATATTTTTAATATTTAAATTTCAAAAATAAATTTAGTTTAAAATTATATTGAGTAATTTTATTTATTTAAATCCCTTTTAAACATATTTTTTCTAAAAAACTATGTAATTTTGTCAATTTATTATTTTTATTAATAAATATTTTGCTACTAAATATAAATATTTTATTTTATTTAATTTATATAACAAAATTTAAGATAATTTTTACTATTTTAAACCTTATTTATAAATTTTATTTTCAAAAATAAAATAATTTTAAAAAATCTATAATAAACCGAATGATTTTAATTAATCTCTTTTGTAGTGTCGTAATCTTATTTTCTAGGCATAATTAGTCCCCAAGTCCTGTAAGTTATTTATGAGTTGCGATATAGTCCCTTAATAAAAAACGATACGATTTGGTCCTGTAATGTTACTTCCGTTAACATGTTTGATCCATTCCATTCATTCATGTGTTAGACCGTTAGTTACTGCCAGGGTGGCGTTCCAACTGTATGCCTAGTCATCAAATGAATATTTAGTTTAGTTTTTAAAGGGTTATATGTTTGCTTCATGGTAATGGTTTTCAGGAAAAACGATTGTAGCTTCCTGCATCTTCTTCTCAGCATATTTGTCTTCATGGTTCATTCACCTTCCTTCTTGTAGCTTCCTTCATCTTGTTCTATTCATCTTGTTCTCTTCATCTTGTTTTTTTTTTTCATTTTGTCTCAATTCTTAGGGTTTATCTTTCTTCTTCGTCTTCAATGTCTAAAATGTCAAGCAGTTCTTCAATTGGTACTTCTGGGTCGGTTGTTTGAAGAAACAAAAGGAGGGAGTGCTTTTGCCAAGATGAATGTGTGCTTGGTATCGGGAGTGATATGAAGAGTGTCAATTTTGGGAAAAAGTTTTGGGGTTGCAGAAGTTTCAAAAATCATGTGAATAAGGGATGTAATTTCTTCAAATGGTTCGACGACGACATTATTGATGAAAGGGATTTGAAAATCCAGAGGTAGAAGAAGAAAATTTACAGGTTGAAGAATGTGATCATTAACACAAGGGGATGGTTGAAATTGTCTATAATCATTGGAATATTGAGCTTATTATTTAATGTTATATTTGTAACAATTGTTTTTTAGGTTGGTTGTTTTTCTGTGTAATGACATGTAGTTGTGAACAAGGAGGTTGAATTGTATTTGTGAAATGTGTTGTCAACATTGTTATGTATTTTCAAAACATATCAATGAAATGTAGTTGCTTTTGTTTGTGAAATGTTACTTTTGTTTCTGTCAAAATTTATCAATGAATTATATCTGTGAAATGTTACTTTTGTTTGTTTCCCACAATTATAAGAACAAATGTAAACTATAAAATGGTCGTAACAATAGTCACAAAACCATAACATTAGTTTCAATATTAATATTACAAGTCATTACAAAAGTGGCGTTACAAGCCATTAGACATAACTATAGTATAGACATTTTATGCCATATGTTACAGTAGTTGAAATTCAACAAAAGTGACATTATAAGCCTTAGTCTTAAACTACATAATAGGCAAAAAATGGAATAACTAGTACATATCAAAGATAAGCATAATCTTATGGTTGGCTCAAAGCAGGTTTTAGAACTTTTTGAAGTTTCTATCTTTTTTTGGATACTTGCTGAGTTGAACCTGTTGGTTGGCTTAATGTAGCAGCAACTAGTGTTGGTTGCCTTGATGTAGTAGCAACTGGTGTTTGTGGTAGGCTTGATGCAACAATAAATGGTGTTGTTGGTTGGGCTGATGTAGCAGTAACAGTTGGTGGTCTTGTTGATGTAACAGCAGCAGTTGGTGGTGGTGGTGTTGTAGCAACAACAGTTGGTGGTAGTGTTAATGTAACAACATCTTTTGGTGTTGTTTTTGCTGTAGGCAGCTTGCAAGTGGACTTGTTGTGACCATCTTTATGGCACCTACTGCACTTGATACTAAATTTGGCCCTTTTAAGTTGTGTCTCATTTCTAACGTGTTCCCCAGCATCTTTATTCCTTTTCTTCTTGGGTATACTAGGCTATCTTTTTATGAGGGGTGGTTGCAGGTCAACAACATCTGTTTTGGTCCAAAGAGATTCTCCATTGACTGGATAAATCACTGGTGCATAACAAGCTTCATAACACTCCTTTTTTTAATAATCAGGAACACAATCATCTACCCGTAATCATGGATTCTTGTATATTGCTCTCTAAATGAACCATCAACAATATCAATAGCAAGTGACTTAGCTTTGTACGCAAATGTCTTATTGATCCCTACATTCCACTTTTGTTTTGTTTTCTCCATTATATCACTCAACTTCAAATTAGGAATCTCTCTTACATTACTTTGAATCCCCCTCCCCCCAACCATTTGGAATTTATGAACCTCACCTTATAGTCCCTACTGCATGTGTGCTTGCCCACAATCTTTCTCAACTTCCAAGTATTATTATCTTGTAATTTTGCACAGTATGACTCCTATGGACAACCTTTCTTACATATGAATCTCATCCTCTTATTATCGTTTTTCTTAAATTATAGGTTTCTACTAGAATGAATAACATAAGTTTTAATTACCTCTTTAAAGTCTTCCTTAGAAGCAAAATAAGTCCATAATTCCCACTTATAATCATCCATTCTTTTTAGAAGTTTGAAAGCAGGAAAATCATCTTTTAGAATCTCACCATCTTCACTATCATAATCATGTGGTAACTCATCAGTGTCATACTCCTCAATGTCACTCAATCCTCTAAAGCTTTCTTTTGTAGCCTCATATTCATTGACATCATCAAATACACCACTACCCCAACTGCTTCTTCCACAACTTTTTGTTTCTTTGGTCTCCCCTTACCCTTACCTTTTCCTTTCCCCTCACCCTACATTTTCCTTTCACCTTACCCTTTCATTTGCCCTTCTCATTTTCTTTTCTTTCATCTATATCAACAACAATTTCTTCAGCAATTCCAATTGAATCATCACCAAAATCCCCAAAGATCATTTTCAACACACTATCATCTTTACTACCCTCATAATCTTTTTGGTTACATTTAAGCCCCTCATTTTCTTGGTTACATTCTTCTCCCTGACGTACCTCTTGGTTACAAATCAGTCCCTCAGATACAAGTTCAGTTTAAACACTCACCAAGTAAGGTGTGCCATCCAATACATCATCTTCTTGGTCACATAGCATATGTCTAGTGGTCTCATCTAAAGTAATATCCACTGTGGCATCCTCAGACACAATGTCCCCCCTCAAAGTTAACATCCTGATATGACTCTTTTTGGTTACTGCCGTCATTGGTCCCATCCATATTAACATCCTCAAATGAAGCTTCTTGGTCAATTGCAGCTGAATCTTCAAATCTTACGGGCCCTCCTTCTTTAAAATTGTCACCTATATTATCCAATTCTTCAATGGTCCCCATGTAATCAAAAGTTCCTTTTACACCATTATTCAATTCATCCAATATGTCATCTTCCAAACTGTCGTCTTCTACATCATTTGGACCTACATTATTTTCAACATTTGGACCTACGTTGTTTTCACCATTTGGACCTACATTATTCTCAAGAGGCAATATTTTCTCTTCCCCATACACTAGATGCATCACATAGAGATGAACATTCCCATTGATCAGAGCAATGGTCTTCATTCTATTTGTTCCTGCATCATCTTGCAACATCACTAGCTCATTATCATCCATTGCATCATAATACCACAAACGCTCAACTTTTGGGTACCCTAAATCTTTCAAGCCACATAGAATCTCAAAATAACTCCAAAAATTCGGGTCAACATGCCAAATCTCCTCTAAACCATTGTAACCATATCTGTTAAACTCACCAAACCCACCGCCATGATGGATAACATGCTCAAACCTATCACCACTCATCACCTAGTCACACAAGATACCTCAGAAACCACACATCGCAATAAACGAAATTGTAAATACAAATGCTTTTTAAAATGATGAGTTCATACATGTACTTCTTTAAAATGCTTAACTCTCTACGTATCTTCTTCTGCTATCGTCTTTGTAAACTACCGTCGCCTTCAACCACGTCCGTCTTGTTCTTCGTAGCTGCTAGGGTTTTTTTAAGGAACGAAGAAGCAACAATGATATTCTGAGAGTAGCTGAATAGTTTAGGATATTAGTTATTAAAAAAGAAAACAAAAAGGATTTTAGCAACACCAAAGGTCTCCTATTAACACATTAGAAAGAAAATAGGGTGAAAAAAATAAAAACAATGCCACCTAAGTATAAAAAAATGCCACATAGACATGTTTTAATGTTTTATCAAAGAAACTAATACAAGAGATTTATTGTGTTAACGGAGTGTCCTTAAAGGACTACATTGGAATGTTTTTTAATTGTGGGACTAATAAGAAACAACAAAATAACTTAAGGGACTAAAAGATGAATTAATATTTTCTACTATCTCCAAGGTCGGCGGCACACAACTTCTAGTTAAGACAAGGTCTCACTTAAGATGCTATTTGTACCTTCCACTTTCACACTCACGCGGTTTAACACTATATAACACCAAAATTTTGATTCATTTCACGAACCTTCTTCCTCTATACTAGTACTTTCTTAAACAAAAAACAAAATAAAAAACAAAAACATCATATACTTGTGTTGAATCAATTTTCCACGACACAAACAAATTCCCCTTGAAACCTCTTTCTTCAATTCAATTTGTCTCATGTCAGTTGTTTCTCTTTGCACCCTTTACACTCCAACTCTCCTTCTTTTATCTAAGCCCCACAAAACCTCTGCTCCTATCTTTTCCCAATTTGCAAAACAATCTGGGTTATTTTAGGGGCGGTATTCCTCAAGATGAGGCTGTTTGGAAACACTTGAAACATCTCATCGGTACCCGCTTACTGGTGAATGCCCGTACCATGGAAGAGAGGAAGGTAATTTTTGGTAATTGTTAAAAATGCTTGGCTTTTTGTTGCTTAATATTAGAGTGTTTATACTAGTAATGATTTCATGCAGGCTCAATGAAGAATGAGGTAGCGCTATGACTTTTAAGGCGGGAATCCTTCTAGGAGCAACTGTAGCCAACCTTTCCACTACTTTTGATCCTTCTAGAAATGTTGTTGCTCTAAATTCTCTTCATAGGCCGTGGAGTGTTTCGGGTCATCCGGCCTTTCCATTGTTTACGGGGTCGGGCCCATGCTCCTATAGAGAACGTCAGGTTTTTTCTTTAGAGGAGGATTTCTAGTATTTGGCCAATCTATTCGGGCATGCTTTAAAGGAAAAATTGACGACTCTGGCGCGGTATATTCGACGCGCCTCTGCAACTTTGGCTCTTGGTGGAATTCATCTCCAGGACGCTTTTTGGTATGACTAGAAACATGAGGAAAAACATCAGCTGGAAGAAAGTGTTCTCAATCTGGCGCTTCAGTGGGATACATACTTGGAGGAAATAAAGACAAATTCCACCTTTCTTACTGGGATAAGGTACATTTTGCTCCCCCTTAATCTAACTGATTCTCTTGTCGGGTAGGTGACTCTTTTGGTAAGGAGCGTGGCAAGGAAGGACAAGTCTTTGCCTTCTTCCCGAAAGACTTTGAAGTCTACTCGAGTGTCTCTTTTGGCGGCTCAGGGAGAGTTGGATTCTTTACGGCTTGAGAATGCTTCTCTGATTCAACGGTTGGGCAACTATACGGTTGCAAGCCTTGGGACGGTTTCACAGTTTAATTAGAATGCTTTGTAGATAGTGGTGCATTTTTAATATCCTCTACGTGTTTCGAGAGAGCAAGTTTGGTGGGATTAAGTTCTCAAAGGTGGGGAGGTCGTCTCCCTGTTAGGGTAGCCTCTCCTTTTGTTTTGCACTATATGTAAAGTATGTTTGTAATGGAAAATTATATGTGCATATATTTGTAATAAAGTGTTATTTTACCTGCACGGGATATGCTTATGGGATCCCGAGTGAAGAGCTATGGATTTCGTGGGAACTTACGAGGTCTTCCCTCAAAGTTTATCGGACGTCTCTGGGGCCGTTCCCGGTCAAAGGTCAGTTCCCTTCTCCCGACCAGGTGAAAACCCGGTCTGAGATTGACGTTTGGCCAACCCACTGCGGCCTCTTGAGTGGCTAGCTGTTAGAGTGGGGGTGGACCATTATTTCCTATTAAGAATTGATTGTTGTTGTCGCATGTGCGAGGCATTTGCAACACCAGCTTCTCGTGCAGCGATGGAACGAGTAGCTTTGGATCCAATAATTACTTAGAAGCGTAGAGATCGTAGATTTGGAAATTCAGGAAATTAAAGATGAAATGCTACTTGATTGGATCGAACACGACAAACCTTTGTCTTCAATTTCATGTGCTCTTCATTCGATGACATGAGAAGATTTTGGATTGACGAGTCAAAGAACAAATATGACATTGTGGAAAACGTAAAAATCATAAGTCATTTTTTCACATATGGCGCCGCTGCTCTGTATTAGAACCAGAAATGGAGCGAGGATTGAAGGTAATGGTGGATATGCGTTTCTGATGCTGCGGAGAGGGGGTGACCTATAAGGTTAACACTCCAACACTCAAGTCCGTATATGAGGGAGAAAAATGAATTGAATTTAATATTGAAAATCGAGTACCTGAATTGACACACTCTCTTTATATAATGGAGATAAAATGACAAACTGCTATTTGTTAGGTATAGATTGGGGAGATTTGTTGGATGTATCTTAAGTTTGGATCCTATGTACTCATCCATAAGATAGTTCTTGTATGCTGAGAAGATTTTAAAAGAATTGCACCTCTTCCAAAGTGATCGGTTGAGATCAATATGATCGACCTAAAACATTTTTAAATATTAAATATTCTATTTGTGGAAGAATCCTCTATAACAAAAATATTATTTTAATTATATTTTAAATAAAAATAAAACTATGATTTTGATAATTTTTCATAATTTTATCTTTCAAAAATCTTAAATTATTTTTATGATAATATTATTTTATTATATGTTTTAATATTTAAATTTCAAAAATAAATTTAGTTTAAAATCATATTGAATAATTTTATTTATTTAAATCCTTTTTAAACATATTTTTTCTAAAAAGCTATGTAATTTTGTCAATTTTTTATTTTTGTTAATAAATGTTTTGATACTAAATATAAATATTATTTAATTTAATTTATATAACAAAATTTAAAATAATTTTTACTATTTTAAATCTTATTTATAAATTTTATTTTCAAAAATAAAATATTTTAAAGAAAAAATCTATAATAAACCGGATGATTTCAATTAATCCTTTTGTGTAGTGTCGTAAACTTATTTTCTACTTTCTCCAAGGTCGGCACCCAACTTCCAGTTATAACAAGTTCCCACTTAAGATGCTATTTGTACCTCCCACTTTCACACTCACACGGTTTACCACTATATAACGCCAAAATTTTGATTCATTTCGCGAACCTTCTTCCTCTCTACTTTCTAAAACAAAAGACAAAAACATCATCTACTTGTGTTGAATCAATTTTCCACGACACAGACAAAATTTTCCTCGAAACCTCTTTCTTCAATTCGATTTCTCTAATGTCAGCTGTTTCTCTTTGCACCCTTTACACTCCAACTCTCCTTCCTTTCTCTAAGCCCCACAAAACCTCCGCTCCTATATTTTCCCAATCCGCAAAACGATGTCGTATCATCACCTCCGTTGCAGAGGATCGTAAACAAATTCCGGTGGTGTCAAATGACAGAAAAGTCCTTCAGCCTTCTCCGCCTTCCAACGACAACACAGAGGTTGTTAACGACACTGATATCATCACCGGACGTGCCGTCAATGCTGCCATCGTTTTGGGATTTGGGGCTTTTGCTGTCACCAAATTGCTCACCATTGACCATGATTATTGGCATGTCAGTATCTTGACTATCTTCTATTTTATATCCAAAGTTTATTTATTTTTTCTTTTTTAGGCGAATTGGGTAACTAGTAATCTAGAGTATTTATATATGGAAAAAGTTGAAAACTGATTAGGGTTTTGTGGTTCAGGGTTGGACACTTTATGAGATACTGAGGTATGTGCCTGAGCACAATTGGATTGCCTATGAACAATCTCTGAAAGCAAATCCAGTTTTAGCTAAAATGGCAATAAGCGGAGTTGTTTACTCAATTGGAGATTGGATTGCACAGGTTTGTTTTAACTAGCGAAATTTATGAATTGCTCATGTTCATGGTTTTTATCAGCTTCTTATAGGTTATTACCGAAATATTATAGTGTTACGAAGGAAAGCCTATTTTTGAGTTTGATCGGGCGCGACTATTCAGATCAGGTCTTGTTGGATTTACCCTCCATGGATCACTTTCTCATTATTACTACCAACTGTGTGAGGTGATTATTATTGTACATCTTTGGTTGGATTTTGGGATTGTTCGGTTTTATTATGTCAATGGCTAAAATTGTTTGCATTGTTTCACTTTCACAGACTCTTTTTCCTTTCCAAGAATGGTGGGTTGTCCCTGCTAAAGTTGCTTTTGATCAGACTGTTTGGTCGGCTATTTGGAACAGCATCTACTTTGTGGTTTTGGGCTTGTTGCGTTTTGACTCTTTGACTAACATTTATGGTGAACTCAAGGCAACATTTGTGCCCATGCTTACAGTAAGAACCTACTTGTTTTATATGATTTGTTTGAGCTTATCTACAAATGTAAGCACTTGTGAGAGTGTTTGGAAGAGCTTATGAAAACATCTTATGATATGTTCATAAGCTGCTTTCACCTTATTTCTATAGTACAACTAACAATTCAAGGATGAACATGTATGATGAACTATTAAACTGTGTATAATGTTTTTATCAATAGAACCATTGTTTGATTATAAATTTGATTCTGTTTATATGACTAAAATTTCGCTCTAATGTGCTTCACAGGCAGGTTGGAAGCTTTGGCCTTTTGCCCATTTGATTACTTATGGTGTTGTTCCTGTGGAACAAAGGCTTCTTTGGGTGGATTGCATCGAGCTCATTTGGGTCACTATACTTTCAACGTAAGTTCTCTTGGATTATTTGCCAGTCAGAAAACGAAAACGTTGAACAAAATGTGATGAACCCAAACATGTGAAAAAAACAAACCAATTTAATTGGTACAATTGGATTTTTGGATTCATCGTGCCGCTTTGGCTCTTATACTTAACATGGATGCATACTACATAAATAACATGAAACTAATGTTACATATAATCTTTAAAAATTGGAAATAAGATTTAGTTCTTTATACAATTTTATTTTGTTTTTAGCTATTCAAATGAGAAATCAGAGTCCCGAAAATTTGAGGAAGTATCAGAAACAAGCTCTTCAACTTCAAGCCAGAATTCTAAGGTAAGAACTAAGAAGGCTGTTGTATTATTTTTCTCGCATGTTCTAAGGTTTCAGAGGGTCCTTGATAGAACAGAGGTATGATTTAATATGATAAAGAAAAGTATTTTATTAATGAATGTGAAAGTAAAATAAATTCCAGAGCTACTGCTCCTCAGTCAGTGAAACAATTCTCTCACTGCCAAAATCCTAATATCAAAATCAGAAAATCAATTAATGTCTAACTACTGCCCCATACACTCCTCTTTATATGGAGAATAATCCCTAAACTAACTCCTATTTATATGGAGAATAATACCTAAACTAACTCCTATTTATTTGTGGAGTTTCCTATTCTTTCTCACATATACCCTCCATTGTTTAGGTCCAATAATATCTCTATTAACTAACACATTCCCATCATCATTTGTGGGATCCGATCCATTCCTATCATCACCCCCACCTACAACATTAGCCTTGTCCTCAAGGCGCAGATCAGGGAATTGACTCTTCAGCAACAGTTCCTCTTCCCAGGTAGCATCTCCAACATCCATCCCTTCCCATTGTAACACACTGCTGACCTTGGCAGGATCAACAGCAACCCCTGCTTTGGAAATGACATGGCCCAAATATTCCACTTGGTGCTGACCGAAAGTGCATTTCTTCCGATTTGCCACAAACTGATGCTGCTGCAGAATATTAAGAACCACCTCCAAGTGCTGTAAATGTTCAGCCCAACTACTACTGTATACTAGGATAGCATAAAAAAAAACCAGGACAAACTTCCGTAGAAAGGGCTTGAAAATTGCATTCATCACCGATTGAAAAGTTGCAGGAGCATTGGTGAGGCCAAACGGCATTACTAAAAACTCATAGTGACCCTCATGAGTCCGAAAAGCAGCTTTATGAATATTCTCTTCCTTCATACGAATTTGATGATAACCGGATTTAAGATCAAGCTTAGAGAAATAACTACAACCATGTAACTCATCTAACAATTCATCTACAACCGGAATAGGATACTTGTCCTGAATTGTTACCTTGTTGAGTGCACGGTAATCTACACACATACGCCAAGATTGATCCTTCTTCTTGACCACAATGACGGGACTAGAGAAAGCGCTGGTGCTGTTTCTAACCACCCCTTGTTGCAATAGGCTCTGAATCTGTTTTTCAATTTCATCCTTGTGTAAATGAGGATATCTGTATGGTCGCACACTTACCGGACCCGCACCTTGTAAAAGTTCACTTGAATGACTAGTGTTTCTTGACGGAGGAAGACCTTGGATTTCTTTAAACACAATAACAAAATGCTTCAGCAATCTTTCCAACTCCTTAGTCTGTTGATTAGAGACACACGACACCGGTGACCCTAACACCTCCATCAAGGTAGGCCATTCACAGTCTGCCATCATTCGAGAAGGAGTGATAATGCTTTGGAAAGTAGCCATCTTATCATCTACAGCCTGACTAAGTAGTTTCACCATACTGCCTTTATGGTTGAACTCCATAGACATTTCTTTCCAATCCATGGTCACCTTCCCCAACGTTTCTAGCCACACAACTCCTAAAATCAAATCCACACCTCCTAACTCCAACACATAAGCATCAAAGCAAATCTGCACTGATCCCCATTGCATCTACCCCTAGTTAGGACACGATGACCATCTCCTAATTTAACACCCAAAGGATTAGAAGGCACCATAGACAATCCCAGGGCTTCAACCACCTTAGGTGATATGAAATTATGTGTGGCTCCACTGTCAATAAGTACCAGAATTAAGGCACCTTGTAAACATCCCTCCAATTTCATCCTCCGGACCTGATTTGGATTAGTGGATACACCAACCAGCCCCATGGTTTTACATTCTAATTCCTCTTGTGTGAGCTCTTCTTCCGTCGCAGCCTCCAACACCACAATCTCTCCTGCATCGTTAACAATTTCGTCATCCCCCAAGATAATCAATCGTAACTGTCTTGTTGCACATTGATGGAGAGGATCCCATCGTTCGTTGCAACGAAAACAGAGTCCTTTCGCACGACGCTCATTAACCTCTGCACTTGGTAGATGGCGAACACCACGAGATTGACGGCTTGAATTGTCACCTAAATTTGGGCGAGAAGATGCTGTAGAATTGGTAGGACGTGTTGAGACGGTTTGAGATCTAGAATCCGAACCAGTCCGCGTTTGGCCCAAAGAATTATTAGGCTGGGTCTGAGTTGCAGATCCGTTCCCTTCCCCTTCGCGAAAAGCCCAATTAGGCTTTTGAGATTTTGTCCAAGAACCATGACCTGGTTTGTAACGTGCTCCAGAACCTTGTCCAGAAGCCACTGCAAATTCACTTTCAACATCACGAGCCAATTGCATTGCTAGGTAACGATTGCGAGGCTTGAAGGTACGCACACGAGAACGAATATCATGACGTAAACCACCAATGAAATAACCTAGAAACTGTTGTTCTGGCAAACGACCACACTGTGAAGAATACAGTTCGAATTCAGCAATATATTCCTCTAGTGATTCCGATTGTTTTAGTTCCTTTAATTCCTCAAACGGATTCTCCAAACGCCCACCTCCAAATCGAACCATCATCGCCTCACGAAGGTTCTCCCATGACACTTCCTCCGTTGAATCATGCCATAGGTTAAACCAATGGATAGTAGGGCTTTCCATACTCAATTTGGTCAACTGAATACGAACATCCTGCGAAATTCGTTGTACCTCAAAGTATGTCTCAGCCCGAGTGATCCATGCAACCGGATCGTCACCGGTAAATGCCGGCAACTCCACCTTCTTCGCAGATAAACGAAACTCATCCAGCGGTGAGGAAACTGCCGCACTGCTTGGCTGCGGCACTTCACGATGAGCCATTGCACGTTGAATCTCAGCACCAATGAACTCTCGTAACGCAGCAATGCTAGCCTCAACACCTTCCTGTTAAGAGTCCCACATCGGACAATATATGGCATGAACATGTGTTTATAAGTGGGGGCAATCCTCGCTCTACCAACCGGTTTTGTAGGGCTGAGTTAGGCCCAACCACGTTTCTTAACATGGTATCAAGAGCCTCGTTTAAGATCCGGTGAGCCACCTTCTATGGTTTCCGCTATCGGGCCACCCACCATTTATTTCCACGCTTCAGTTGTCCAATTCTGAGCGTGAGGGGGTGTGTTAAGAGTCCCACATCGGACAATATATGGCATGAACATGTGTTTATAAGTGGGGGCAATCCTCGCTCTACCAACCAGTTTTGTAGGGCTGAGTTAGGCCCAACCACGTTTCTTAACCTTCCAACCTTTCTTCCACTGCAGAAACACGGTCAGCCATCTTAGGAGCTTTGGACATGAACAAGGTCGGACCAATTGATAGAACAGAGGTATGATTTAATATGATAAAGAAAAGTATTTTATTAATGAATGTGAAAGTAAAATAAATTCCAGAGCTACTGCTCCTCAGTCAGTGAAACAATTCTCTCACTGCCAAAATCCTAATATCAAAATCAGAAAATCAATTAATGTCTAACTACTGCCCCATACACTCCTCTTTATATGGAGAATAATCCCTAAACTAACTCCTATTTATATGGAGAATAATACCTAAACTAACTCCTATTTATTTGTGGAGTTTCCTATTCTTTCTCACATATACCCTCCATTGTTTAGGTCCAATAATATCTCTATTAACTAACACATTCCCATCATCATTTGTGGGATCCGATCCATTCCTATCGGTCCTCATGATGCTTATCATGAAACGAGGAGAAACCATTGCTCTACACATTTCAACAGTAGAAGTAGTTTAGACTTGTGTCTGCATCTGAGAAACATTGGCACCGACATGAATATAAAATGAATTAATTGAATGTAATCACATGTATCGGTGTCTGACACCACCAACATGGGTCATACACCAGATGTTTTTGTTTTGAAGTATTAGTACTACAAAGTTCTTCATACCTATCATTCATCCAAATTGAAACACACAACAAAATTTTTTTATGCTTTAGTTAGACGAGTCCTCCTTCAATTTTGTACATATATTGAGCTAATTATTTATTTTCTGTATCTATGATATGTGGCGTACTGCCAGGAATCAAACGAGTAAAAATGTCGGGAAAAAACTATATACAGGTTCATGACAGTTACAAGGGTCACCAACCTTGCAAAAGCATTTGACGCATTGGCTTAAAATTGGAAGAATCTCGATTGAAGGTCCAAATACTGAATAACCTTAGAAAGCAGATTATAGAAAATACACTTATACTGGTTCAGTTTGAATACAACTATAACCATCTTTTGCATCCTTCAGCAATGATGAACTGTTCAGGTTTGAATTCATCTGAGGCATAGACCATTTGTATATGTAAGCACATTTGCGAAAGTTGAATTGTGTTTTACTTCTTCTTTAGGGGTGTATCCAATTAGCTTATCATCTGTATTTGTGTATAAAAAGCACATTATGCTTGAAAATGTGAATAAACTAGTGAAATTAATGTAAATTTACAGATTACTTTTACAGTTTTATTCTGTCAAGAATTGTATAAATCTTAATAGTGTGAGAGTTTCAATCACATCAAAGGTCAAATTTAAATTTAAATGGTTTAGTAGATTATCAGTTGAAACGTTTTCTTTGGTTGGGCTTGGGGCCCTCCTCAATATTTCAAACCCTCTGCGGCGAGGGTGTTCTTTGGCAGGATTCTTTTTGCGACTGGGTTCTTCTTTCTAAACCTTGTGAGTTTCCTTGCACATATCTTTGAATCAACTCCTCGATCACCCTTTCAAATGGTGTTAGCTATTAATGTTCACATCATTTGTCTGGATCTTGTCCTATGGAATCTTCTTTGGGAGCTATTAATGCTCACATCATTTGTCTGGATCATGTCCTATGGAATCTTCTTTGGGAGCATGGGGCTTAGAGATGATCTTGGTATTATAGACATTTTAAAGAATTTGCTCCCATCTTGTTTTTAGTGGGGTGAAGCGCTCCACAGTGGCCTTCGGACAGGCTTGAAACTGGATTTCTCCCTAATGGGTATTACATTTTGATTCCTCCGATATCCAGTTATCTCAGATTTTTCATTATCGCGTCTTAGGTACTTTTCTTGACATTGCTTTCCTTTCCTTTGATATATCACTTTGCTCTAGTCACGATCTTCTTCACTGAGGATGTTGGTATTTACGCTAGGAACTCATTAAAATGTTCAATTTTGAAGTCATTCTTAAAGCTTCCTTACAAACATCTTCTGGTTTGGATGAATAACCTTGATAGTTTCTTCATTAAATCAGTTATTCTCGCAATGACCTGACGAACATTAAAAAGTTTTATGGTGGACACCTTCCTTTATTGGCTGAAAATTGGTGAGTCATCTTCTCAATTAGATCTTGGTAATCTTTTATTGGAAATTTCGGAATACTTAATATACCATTTGAGGGATGTTTCCTTAAGTTCCCTGCCATCAACTTGCATTTAAAGGAGCCAGTCTCTCCTATGATAGTTAGATAGTTATTTGTGTGTTGATAGTGATAATATGTTTCTAAGGATTACTCTTGTCATTAAACATTGTTAGGGGATGGTTTGAAATTGTGTGACATGGGCATCTCAAATCTTCTCTGCTAAAGATTGAGGATCCATGGGGTCTTCCTTTTGGTCAGCTACTAGTTGTAGTTGTTGTTGTTGCAGATCATGCACGATGTCTTTTAACGTTTCGTTCTAGTGACATAATTTCTCTTTAGCAGTAAGTATCTCCGTTATGGTGGCTCGATCATCGTAACGATATTAGTAATCCATGTTGAATTTTTCAAAAGAATTTTATATTAAAGGACAACAAAAGAAAGTGAAAAAGATCTTATAATTAGTATTTTGTGTTGGTTAAATTTTCAACAAGACCGGATCAATTAGACGTCCTAATTCACCCAGAGTTCTCTACTAATTGATGAATAGGTGAATCTCTAATATGGATCATCAAATAGATGCATGATTTTCATTCTTATGTCCACCATTGATCCATTATGGAGCATCAAATAAATGCATGATTTTCATTCTTATGATCCACCATTGATCCATATCTAACAGTCTTCCACTTCTTACATCAGATCAACCAAAGATGATTTTAACTGTCATTCCTATATAAGTATGACTCTGAATAACACACTGTCTTTTTTTCATCCATATCACATCTCTCAAACATTGATTTGGGTGTGGAGTTCTAACTTTACATGTACCTCCATTTTTTCATAAAAGCTTCGAATAAAAATTTGGTTTTGATAATTATTTGTAAAATACAATTTTAGATATTTATCATTTTATTGAAAAAAAATTTGGATATCAAAATTTCAAAAAATCACTTAATTTTAAAATTATTTCAAATAATTTTTTATAAAAATTATTTTTGAGATATAACATTTAAAAAAATTACAATTTTAACTATGTTTTAATTTTCAATAATATATGTTATTCTATAAAATGTCAAAAATTAGTTTTTCAATTTATAAAAAACAAATTTAAATTTTTGTATTATTTAAAAAAAATAATTTATAAAAATAATTTAAAAATAATTTTTTAAAAGTTAAAACAAACTGATCAAAAGTTCAAACTCAGTTAAAATATTTTATATAATTTTCACTTCTTTTTAAAATTATGATTTTGATTTAATTCAACCATAAAAAGTAGTTTATAGGATAATAATTGCTCTCAGTTATTCATGTCATATATTGTGTGATGTTAAATCTTGACACTAGTAATATAAATATAGCCAAAATTACCTAATTAAAAAAAATTAAATGATTTTTTTATAAAAATTTATTTAAAATAGTTTTAAATTTAAGTGATTTTTAAAATTTTATTATTAAAAAATTATACTAAAACAATAAAATATCTAAAATGATATTATAAAAACTATTTAATCAATTTTTATTTAAATATTTTTCTAAGTATTTTATATAAATGTTTTAAAATAAATATATAATATTATAAAAATCATTTACAAAAATAAAAAAAAAACAAAATCCTAAATTATAAATAAAAAGTGAAATATAGAATAAATTATTAAAGACGATTTCTAAAAAAAAAGTGTGATGGAGATAATCTCCTATAAATAAATAAAAGAAATGATAAATAAATTTCAATACAACGTGTAGAGTTAGTTGTTTTGGATTTTCTTTGGGGCCCGTAGGTGTAGTCGTTGCAATTCCCACGGGTCTCCGAACCGGCGAAGATCGCATCGAAACTCTCCGTTCTCTACAATGGTGAAGATCGAAGAGCTGAACGAATCCGTGGCCAAAACGAACAGAAAGAGGAATCATGGATCAACTAGTTTCTTCGTCTTCGTTGATTATTTTTTCATCCTCATGTTCCTCGCATTCCTCTGCTTCATCATTTTCGAGATCATCGGTGTTTGATTCGTCAAATTGCACAATCTTCGCTTCCTTCTGAATTAGGTATCGTCCTCGTCTAATTTAAAACTCGCATTTATTTTAAATTGCTTTTTTTCTTACAACCTCTTCCTTTGGCAGGATGCTTCTATGACATAGCTAGGCTTCCATTACAAATCTAATTCCAAGCTCGAGGTAGTGGCATTGGCAACCGGCAAGTGTCATATTTGATCAGCACATATTGATGTAATAATGCACATTTATCAATTTCTGTGGTGACAAGCTTTTGCTATGGAATTCCAAAATTTGCACTATTATCTTGTGTGTTACATTTGATCTTTTTGTTAACATATCATTTTTATACTTTCATAATTCTGTTATCTTTTAGCTTGACAATGATAAAAAAGGATGACAGCTTTAATCACAATAAAATACATTGCTGAAACACAAAATTTGATAGTGATAGCAAAGCAAATTTTCTTGTTTTTTGGCTAACTGATTCATTACTCAACTCAAAATCCTTTTTCTTGGAGTGGCCTTGGAGATAGATAAAGAATGTGCGAATGCGCGCGCGTTTTAATTTGCTAATTTTGTTTCGGGTTGGTGGTTTGGGGTGGGGTAGATGAGATGAAGACCACAAATAACTTTGTTGCATGTGAAACTTGTATTAGTTTGGTGTGGTTGCTTGAATATTGATGGCACACCAACTTTGCATTTATGTGCAGCACTTTTATTGTTCATTATGATATATGTGAATGAGAGGGATATATATTTGAGGAAAGGTTTATTATTTAATGACTTAAAGTGTGATTTCAAGAGTTGGATTCTCAGTAATACTGAATTCTCAACCTTATGATTGACATGCACTCTTGAACATACTCTTTATGATGGTGGTTCATTTCCATAAATTAACTTTACAAAAACAAATCAACTATAAAAAATGTGATAATTGATTTTTCACATGTTTGGTTGCTCTGAGTATAATTGATTTTGTTTTCAGGATCGATTCTATTTGAAAATAAGATTTGTAGTTTTTGATTCTAAATGTGATTTTTACAATGAAAATTACACCTTTGTAAAAATTTATCCCAACTTAAGTTGTATTCAGTGATTTTTTCTAGAAAGTTTTCTCAATCGGCCACCTAAAATGTGTATTTTATTTGAAAATACATTATTGAAAGCATTTTTTATAGTGTATTTTGAGAGATATGAGCATATAGAAGACATGTCTTTTCCCAGAAGGACAATTATGTGCTATAAAACCAACCTAGCAAAGTTCATGAAAGAGTCAGATCCATATTGAATGTATTGACTATTCCATTAGCACCTAAAAACATGTGATCTCTTAGTCACAAGGCAGCAATTACAGCTGTCATACCAAAACTTTCCTTCTAAAAGCTCTTATCGTTCATGTCCAAAAATAATAATAGTTTCATAGAACTTGTGACCTATTGATCACATGGTAGTAGCTAGCAGATCCATTAATTGTTGCACCAATAAGACTCTATTTGATTTAATTTTTGACAAGTCTACATAACATTTATGCAAATTTGAAACCTTATCCGTAAGTTGACTTGTGGGGAAGTTGTAGAATATATTACCTAAACAACTTTTGAGAAACATTAGTGCAACTAAAAAATAAGAGAAAATTGAATTATGAAGGCTACACACAATAGAGCTTACAAAATTACATAATATTTAATCTTTAAAAAGGAAATAACACAATGGTTCTTCATACCATGTAACAGATAGTGTACATGAAACACTTATTCAATGGTGCAAACCGAAATTCATAAGTACTTAAACTAGTCAAAAGCATAACAAGGCTTAGAAACTAGGCCTACAGCCTATTAGTACAATAATGCATGATGGCTTATAACTGAGAAAATTTCAAGGATGAATTGCAGCTGGAACTGGAACCGCACCGCCACTTCCTGGTATCGGAACCTCGTTACCAGGATTTGGGACAAAGGTGTCATCACCCCCTGGAACATAATGTCCACTAGGTGGCGCTGATCCTGGTCCTGATTCTGATCCTACTCCTGCTCCTTCTCCTCCGCCATTGGATGGACTTTGAGGTGTTGAACCAAACAAAGGTGGCAACCCTCCTCGCCCGAAGCCGGGAATCCCATCAAAATGGAAAAAGAATTGAGGCTCTTTCTTGTCATCAGTGTTTGAGTTTCTTGGAATACTGTTGCGTGCTTGGCAAGTAGTACTAAGCAGTACATTCGCAATGAGAAGAAGTGCAAGGAAAGAGGAAGCTTTGTAAGCCATTTTCTTACCAGAGACTTTTGAATATTGAGAAAGTTTGTTGTGTTTGAAAATGGAAGAGATGGCTGAGTATTATATAGTTCCATGTTCTGTTGAGTTTGGTATGCGATTTTGCGGTGAGTTAAGTGTCTCTTGTACAAATGACACTAGCAAGGTATTGAAAAAATGACTTGTATGCACTGAGCCTCATATGGTAGTTGATATTTTGTGGCTGCATTCTGTAAAATGGTAAGTGTTATTTTGGTTTCGCTTTTAATACCTGCTATTTGTGGAAGAGTTTCACCAATATTATAGCGGCCACTAAATATAGCCTTCATATGGTTTTGTTTTGTACCAACTATATGAAGTAAAACACTATGAATTGCTTCTAGCTTCATTATTAATGTCGGTCGTGTTTTTGTTGTTTTGTTGACCTTAATTAATCGTCGTTTAGTACAAGTAATTAACAAAATAAATAAAACAGTCCTTGAATTCATTGTGTTGCTATAGGCATTACAACAAAGAGTTCTAACTGAATAAACAGATTTCAAGAGTTAGGTTTTTCTTCAGAAAATCTAGGAAGTTGTACGAGTGAGTTTACTCGGGTGACACCCTCTAGACCTAACCAGTTTTGATCTTCTGCTGCTGCTGATGTTCCATCTTCGACATCAACAGATTCTCCTCCTCTTCCTACTCCAAACGTCTTGTTTTCTTCTGATGCTCTCACAGTGAAGTTTCTTCGCAAAGAAGGCTCGGATTTTTTACCGTCGTCCGACTCAACTTGATTACCTGAATGATTGTTGCTCTGGATTGTTGCCGAAGAATAGCATTGTTCATCACCATCTGATTCTTCTAAGTCCATTTTTCCATCCAAAAATAGGCACACAACAGCACAGTCATCCATTTTCGAAGTTGGATATTTAAGTTTCCACTCTCGTGCTGCGGATTCCACCAGAACCCTTGCCGCCGATGTTCGACTTGGTGCAGATGATACTATATCCACCACCTCTTCATTGCTCAAAACATCCCATACCTTCACAGACACCAATAGAGAATAAAAGGTTTGAAAGCTAACTCAAAACATCTGAAAAGTGTCATTGTTCATTACTGATATTGAAATTTCTTACCCCGTCCGAGGCAAGAACAATGAACTGGTCTTTATCAGTGAGAAGCCGGTGCGTAAATTCCGGAACAGAAATCACACCGTACTCCTTCAAACAAAAATCTCCAAATGCTCTAGCCATTGCTAATCCAGGTGCATTATCAAAAGGCAACCATACCCTAGGAACTTCTGGTTCATCTTGCAATGCAAATACTCTACCCTTGCAACTTTTAATTCTTTCCTCTTCTCCTACAAGAATATTTCATATAGAAATTTGTATAAGTCACCAACAAGCTAAAATAACATAAATCGAACACATAGAAAGAACGATGATTTCATATGACTTACTTGGCAAATCAGGTTTTAAATCAACTGTCAGCTGAATCGCCACCATCAAGTCATTGCTATCCTTAGATCCCATGATCGCTCTCGAATCACCAATATTTCCCATGAACAAATTTGATCCCTGAAAAGCGGAGAAAATAACGGTTCAGACGTAATTTTGTAAACTAGACCGTAATATTTCAACACCGTGTGACCTTTTTCTGCGTTTATCGTATCTTTGACCTACTTGTTTCACTACACTCACAGCTGTGCTTCCACTACAGAAACAGTCCAAATTTGCATGAGACTTCAGCTCTTTGTCCATAGCTTTATATGCCTTCATGAAAGCTTCTCTCCACATAGCATTCATCTCATCCTCAGCAGAGAAATCATTCTCAGCCTCTCCACTTTCAGCCTTTATATCCCTCTTGAAACAAGCTTTACCGAATTCAGAAGAATGCAAAAACGAAAGCAGTTTTACCGGTAAGGAATCCCTAACTCTGCGCGCGACAAGGTGACCGTGTGGACCGTGGCCGTCAAATACACCACAGAAGATCACATCTTCTGACCTAAAATCCTAAACAAAACAAAAATCAAAACTAGGATGTTAATTGTTAAGTCATTTTTCATTCTATGAGAATCAAACATCATCAACCATAACATGAACATACTTCCCATACAATCATGGCATCCTGATTAATACCCTTACGCCCCTGCTGCGTAAATATACAAGAAGACCGGCTCTTTCCATTCGCGAATATTCTGTTCGGTAAGGATGACAACTTATGCAGAGAAACAACATGATCAGAGAATGCTTTCCTGTCTTTCTTCTGACAACACAGTCCCAATTCTAAACAAGACGAAGACCCCGCTTCGCCATTGCTTCTATCGCTTGTTGAGACACAACACCCCATTTTCTCAGTAGATGAATATCATCCTATGTTTCTTACTTTTGTCCTATAGATCTCCCTTGAAACGCTTGAGATTCAGACTTTAGTCAAATGAATAAACAATCCTGATTCCAAAGATCCTCTCAACTCCCAACTTGTTTCTGTTGGAAACTAGCGCCTTTTTTACTCAGTCAAATGCGCGATTTGCCGGAAACTATTCGAATGGATAAGTAAACCGGCTGAACAGAAGAAAACACATGAATTTAGTATATAATATTACATGGTCTGCAAGAATCAAACAAATTACAAGATAATGAAAGACTCAATAATGTGAAATATAAAAGTCTTAAAACATGTGAACATGAAATAGAATATACTAAAAACTTGTCTTATTATTTGTCCTTCATTGACCTCATCGAAACGAAGAGTTTGATACTATAAATTAAATTAAATCAAATCCATGAACTGTGCAGTAAAACTTTGAAGAACACAAAGACAGATCTTTAAGGAATCCAAGATCAAATGAACATCTAGAAATGAGAAAAGTAAAAGTAGCATATAGCAAAAACAAGTAGTACAGAATAATCATAATTCATGATTATAATAAACAAACAAGAGATAAAGTGAAAAACGCAAAAGAAGAAAAAGACAGAAAGAAAAAGTGTGAATATGATATCATAACAGAGAATCAAAAAGATGGTACCAGACAAATAGCATGGGTGGATCAATCAAGTAAATGTTACGTAATCATCATACTAACTAACAAGTAGTAAAAGATAACAACAAAATTTGTAATAGTACACTAATAAATGGGTGAGAAAATACATAAGAAGATAATAAAAATTATAATGACAACATATAAGATAAGATCAAGTTATTATTCAATGAAAAGGAGACATACATGTTGAACATGCAGATCTTGTTCCTTGAGAGTGTTGTCAGATATTATGTATAGAATAATGTGTTGTGTAGAAGAAACCAAGGATATGATGGTTCAAAAATGGAAAAATTAAGGTGAAGATGGAGTAGTAGAACTTAGAAGTACATTGATCGATCACCTTTGGGTTTGATAGGGAAAAAAAGGGTAGGAAAGAGGTTGAGGTTGAGGGAATGGGAGGAGAGAGACAGAGAAGTAATGGAAAAAGAGTAAATAATGTGTGGAAGAAAATGGTGTGAAGTTATTAATTGTAAAGCAGAGGAGACAGCAGCGCAAGCAAGACAGAACTAAAAGGTGAAAAACTAATTAATGCTCTTCTGCAGTCTGTCATATAATAATGTTGATTTACAATTTTGAAAATATGTTAATTGAGTTGCGCACAAGATCATTCTTTTTACGACGTTTTGCGGTAATGAGTCTCGGACTAAATCACTCTTTTTAAACATATTTTGTGATATTGTTCAAAATTGTGTAAGACATTACAAATCACGACACACCTATGGTAAAACAACTCAGTTCAAAATTGATATGATTATTATTGCACAATAAATAATCGGTCTAAAAATACACTCTAAAATAATGGTCATTTGACCATCCTAAGTAATTTCTCGGACTAGGAGAAATTCGAATAATTCTCTAAAGAGAATTCAATAATTGTCACTTGACTCCTTATACAATTTCTCGAATGAAGAGAAATTCGAATAGTTCTCTAAAGAGAAACTAAATCGTCGTTTGACCATCCAAAATAATTTCTCAGATAAGGACTGTACTTATCAAAAAGTACATAATTTGTGACACCACTATGCTGGTAAGGGTGATTAGAGGCCTTAATGATTTTTTTGCGAGTTAGGGCTTACTCACGATGGTAAGAAACTTTGTTTGATAGTGTTTTTAACTACGGAGAGAGTAAACTCATGTGAGGCGAGAAACTCTGTGTTTATGCGATACTTTGTGTATGTTATGAGTTGTTTCCCCTCATGCTAGGGATGGGGGTATTTATAGAGGCATATGGGGATGAAGTTAGGGTCTCTCGAGAATGATAATTGTTCACTTAGTCATAGTTGTGGATTGTTGAATCCCTAATTACTAAGGAGACTCAGTTTAGTCTGTTGACTCTGAATTCACTATGATCGAGACATGTCTTTTTTCACGTTTTCCATGACGAAGCGAGTAAGGCCGTTAAAGGCGAGGTCACCCTCAATTGCGAGCGGTAGAAAGGTGTTGCCCTTAGAAGGGCTTCCATGATTTCCTCTCCCTTTACAGGTCTTTACAAATATATCACTACATAGTCACTCTAACACAAGGCTTGATAAAGAGTGAAGTGCTTTAATTGTTTTTCAATCTCTCAGATAAGATTATACGTTGAGCATGTCTGCACTCTTATGTTGGTAGGGATGGCCAGAGGGCTTAGTGATTTTCTATAGGTGAGGGCTTGCTCACAACAGTGAGAAAATTTATTTAGTTGCGTCTTTAACTATGGAGAGAGCAAACTCGCGTGGGGTGAGAAACTCTATGTTTATGTGATACTTTTGTGTACGTAATGAGTTGTTTCTCCTCATGCTATGGATGAGGTATTTATAGAGGCTTATGGGTCTGGAGTTAAAGTCTCTCGGGAATGATAATCACCCATTTTATCATTGTAGTGGATCGTTGAGTCCCTACTTCCTATGAAGACTTAATTTAGTTTGTTAAATCTAAAATCTCTTTGATCGAGACGTATCTTTTTCCATGTTTCTCATGATAGGGCGAGTAGGGGCATCAAAGGCGAGGCCTCTCTCAATTGCGAGCGGTAGAATGGTGTCTCCCCTAGAAGGGAGTCCATGACTTCGTCTCCCTCGGCAGGTCTTTACAAATATATCACTACATATTCTCTCAAGCACAAAGGCTTGATAAAGGGTGAAGTGCTTTAATTTCTTCTCAGTCTCTTAGGCAAGATTATATGTTGAGTCTGTCTGACGAGACTCTTAGTCCCTCAGGCGATGCGTTGAGTCTCTTGGGCAAGACTTTGGTCCAAACCCTCAAACAAAAGTTTTAAGCGAAGTCTCTTAAGTCAGACCTTGGTTGAGCCCCATGGGCGAGATTTAAGTTGAAGCCTGAATGATAAAACTCTTAGTCCCTCAGGCGAGGTGTTTAGATGAGCCTGTTTGATGGGACTCTAAGTCTTTTTTAGACAGAATCATATCTTGAGCCTGTCTAACAAAACTCTAAGTCCCTCACGAGAGGCGTTGAGTCTCTCGGGCGAGGCTTTGGTCCAAAATCTTAGACAAGACTTTTAAGAGAAGTCTTTGGGTCAGACCTCGATCAATTCCCTCAGGCGAGACATTAAGTTGAAGCCTGGATGACGAGACTTTTAGTCCCTTAAGCGATGCGTTTAGATTAGATCAGACTCTAAGTCCTTAAGGAAAGATTATATATTGATCTTATCTTATGAGACTCTAAGTCCCTCAAGTGAGGCATTGAGTCTCTTGGGAGAGTCTTCGATCCAAACCCTCAGACAAGACTTTTAAGCGAAGTCTCTTGGATCAGAACTTGGGGAGAATTTAAGTTATAGCCTGTATGATGAGACTCTTAGTCTCTCAGATGAGGCGTTTAGAAGAGCCAATCTCCATGCATATTGTTCATTAGCATTGCCTCCATAGGACGACAAAGATCTTCATGTGAAAGTTAAATGGTATAATCACCCCATAGGAAGACAAGAATCTTCCTATAGAAGTTTAGCGATATAAATACTCCGTAGAGTGACAAAGATATAGAAGTGGAAGTCCATCAATATAATTACCCTGTAGGGCGACAAGGATCTTCCAGCAGAAGTCCAAAAATATAACCATCTTGTAGGATGACAAGGATCTTCGCGTAGAATTCTAATGTACATCAAAGTAAAAACCGAAACACTTTCATTGGACATGGATATTTAAAAGTTTGTACATTAGTTGGCGACGTGCCTCTCCTAAAATATCACCGGTAACTTAAATATAATAATATTTTAAACAAATGAAGTTCCATGTCTTAGGAACGAGTTTCCCATCCAATTCTTGCAGCTTATACACTCCATGTGTTAACTTCTGGAGTATACAATACGGTCATTTCTAGTTGGGCTACAATTTTCTTTGTTGTGCTTCCAGAACCACATGTCTTAGCACCAAGTTGTCCTTCTACATTTCTCATGGCATGACTTTGGAGTTATATCTCCTAATCGCCTTTTTCTTGGTGGCAAACTCCCGGATTCGGTAACGTCTCTTACTTCATCGATCAAATCAGCAACATACTTTAGCCCTGCATCATTCAAATCAGCAATATACTTTAGCCCTACATCGTTCAATTCCTAGTTGAACTAAGAACGACACCATGAAGGTGTACTGTTGATCTCAACAGGAAACATTGCATTTACCCCATATACCACGGTAAAGGGGGTTTCTCTAGTATTGGAGAGTGTTATGATATGACAATAATATTTCATGGATTAATTCATCTCACAACCCTTTGGCATCATCTGACTTCTTTTTAACCTTCTTTAGGATCACCTTGTTTGTTGACTCTACTTCTCCATTGGCTTGTGGATGGAAAACTGAGACGAACTTCGTTTTTACACCCAGTTCACGGCAAAAGTTATTGAGCATGGTGTTGATAAATTGTGTTACATTGTCAGAGACGATGAGGCCCGACAACCCGAATCTGCACAAACTTTTCTTCCAATAGAAATGGAAAACTATTTCTGTTGTTATCTTGGTGATGACCTTCACTTTTATCCACTTGGTGAAGTAGTCGATCCTCCCAATCAAGAATTTTAGCTGCCTTGGCGCCAAAGCGAACGAGCCCAAAATGTCCACTCCTCACTAGTAAAAGAGCCAAGGCAATGTCATAGAGTGGAGAAGTTCAATTGGAGTGTTGTTGCACCCCAAAATTTGCCCTCACTTTTTCTAACCATAGCTGGCTTTTGCTTTGCGCTCATTTGCATCATCATAAGTTCATAATTCATAATCATACTTTGCATTGGTCTTCTAAGGCGTGGGATCGAGAGTTTTCTCTGAGTTAAATCATCAAGTATCAGGCTTATATTCTTCAAGATTTGTCAGGCATCAAGAGCCCA